GAGATGTTGACAATGGTGGCAGTTAGAGACGTTGAAAGTGGTGACAGTTAGAGACGTTGACAATGGTTACAGTTAGAGACGTTGAACGTGGTGACAGTTAGAGACGTTGACAATGGTTACAGTTAGAGACGTTGACAATGGTGACAGTTAGAGATGTTGATACTAACACACATGGGTAGAGAAACATCCTTGGAAGGTTCAATCACCTTTGAAATACTCACACAAGTATTTTGGCACTGAATCCGACAGATTTTGCAGCAGATATGAGCCCCTCTGTCCATCGGTGATTCCGCTTGTAGAATTCCTTCACGGACGTCGATCCCTGTAACAAAATGAAGCGAAAATGTCCAGCACCCACGATCCTAGGCTAGACACAACATAGTGCTCTGTATTGTTCCTCTGTTCTTCTATCACATATATGTGACAATATATGATATATAAATGTAAGCTTATTATAATATATTATTAATGTAAGACAAGTTAGACCTTGGTATAGCACTCCATAATTATGGTCCCCTTGTTGTCTATCACAGATGTGTGATTATATTCAAGGGTAGAAATAAACTTTTGAACAAGGGAGTCCAACGGACTCCCTACCCTCAAAAAGAGGGAGTCCGCAGCAAAATGAGGGAGTCCGCAGTCTAAGGTTCAAAATTGAAGATATTAACAATAACGCATGTGCTTATTTTTAAGATTCATGCAGCTGCACGTCTGCCAAATTTTTTTTGGACATTAGCTGAAAAAATACGGTAATTCCGCGAGGCCGTGCTCTGGAACGAACTAGTTAGTATGGCAGAATTTTCAGGGAGTCACACGGACTCCTGCATATGTCAAATCAGGGAGTCCGACAGTAAATCAGGGAGTATTTGACTCGGGACTCCCGTTAATTTCGCACCCTGTATGTAATGTTATATAAGTGAAAGTACACAAAACATGAAGTTATAGGGCCTGACACGTGAATTTAATATGACACAGTTCACTATTTTATCGATATTGTAACATATAGTTCATTCATAAAAGTGAACGTCTGATAAAACTATGTGCAAATGGAACTAGAGCAGGTTTTGCTAAGCATTATTCAGTATATTATCTTTGCTGATCCTTGAATATATGCATTCTCTAAATGATTTACTTTAGGTGGAAACAGTGATGTGCTACTAATCCTCAGTTGAAAAACTAACTAAAGTTAAAAATGTGCTAAATAAGTGAGAATTGATAGTTGTGTCTACCTGTTACTCCTATAAGACCAATGCATGAGCAAAAAAATAAACTAAAATATGAAAAATGACAAAGTCATACATGTATATGTAACTTTCATGACAAGCTTAGATTTACACATGTTCTGATTCATAGTTAATATAAGAAAAAGATGGAAATTGTACACTTACTCGTCCTTGGGTAGCTATCTCAATCTGTAAATCCTTCGATCTTTCTATGAGGATCTTTACTGCCTATAAAACAAGGTGAATTTCATGTACAACAACAAATAAATTACCTAAGAGATCTTCGCATTGACTTTTCCTAAGTAAAAAAAAATCCAGTGTTCACACTCACCATCATGAGCGCATTACAGGAATCCAGTATTCGTTCATTGACCTCCAAGGTGACCCCAGAGTCAGACTTTCGCGAATTGTTCAGCATTTCCTATACAAGAATGTGAAAAATTCCCATTAGCTGTGGATACAGAAACTTTGGATTCAATCAATGTTGTCAACTTCCGAACAAAATGTTTGCTCGATACATGACCTGTGCAGACAATGTTACATGAGCACGTAGAACCCCTGGCAACATACGGAATCAGGGGAAAAAGTGGAGTACAGGTACACCACCGATTTAGCGGAACCCTTGGTTCCAAGGCCTTTCCAGATCATCCGTTTTTCCGGACGAGAAGAGGTCACATAATAATAATTCAACAATACACATCTGAGCAACTAAATACCTTCCATCATGTCCCCCATCATCTCTAAAGCACCATGCACTGCTAGAAATGTAAACAAATATTAAATGTAAATTAATGTAAACCACCACTGACACTTGCATCTGCCTTAGACGCCATAGCTAGAGTCAAATTTGAGCAAAACAAGGTGGTGGCCACCCGGTGAATTTTATTCGGACTAAAAGAAGTTCCGGACCATCAGTGTCCGGAAAATCGGTGGTGTACCTGTATATATGCTACACGGGGTAACAGGGGTGAACACATGGGTACAGTAGGGAAGGCAACCGCGGCAACTGCTGTAGGTGGCACGGTGGAAGTGGAAGGCCGCGGTAGCGATACCTCGATTCTTCGTGCTGCTGACTCTACTAGGTCCATGGTGCCCTGCATCTCCTGGTCGACGAGATCTCCCAGCTCGTCTTTCTTCACGTCCTCCATCTTGGGCACGAGCGCCTCGACCAGCACAACAACCTTCTCTATTCCTGCCTCCACCTCATTCAACTGTTGCTGTACTCCCTCATGATCGTCTGCATAATACATACAGCTGCAATGACTAGTCGACTCTAATTTTTAAAGGATTGTACAGTGTTGAACTATAATACAGTATAGTAATCCCTAAACTGTATTTTACGAGGGAAAAAAGACATTGGAAAAAAATAGCGGGTGTAAGCAAGTAAAGATATGTTGAATTGTTTAAATAGTCCTCATCAATATTTGCTATTGAAACCAATTGAGCAGCATACCTTGATTGCTTGCTCACATACGTATGCACGCACACACGCACGCACGTATAATGCAGTGACATCATGTCACATGCAGGCAGAGGCCAGCCTCACACATTTATACATGTATGTAGTCATGGCCTAATTGACAATTGGTTCTGAACCAAATCGAACCTGGCTCTGATATTTAATTCGATGTCAGCGAAGAGCAGTTCGTATAGATCGGGAGTAAGAAAGAGAGAGAGAGGGAACGAGTAGAGGAGAGAGAGAGAAGAGAGAGAGAAGAGAAGAGAGAGCGCAGAGAGAGGAGAAGAAGAGAGAGAGATAGAGAAGAGGAGAGAAAGAGGAGCAGAGAGAGGGAGAGAGAGAGGGGAGAGGACGAGAGAGAGGAGAGAAAGAAGTATCAGCTTGGGTGGGTGCCCACCGACCTGCGTGCTTCAGTATAGTCGAATAAGCTACTTTATTACATAACACTTCACGTCTTAGTTTCTTCCTCTAGACGTTTTCCTCATGGACAGCTTCAACTCATCACGTAGTCTTCACTATACCACATACACACTGTCACCACTATAGGAACAATGATGCAGCCTTGAGTGTCCAGCCGCACAAGAGAGCACGCTAACCCTAATCTCATAAATTCACATAGTCTCTATCAAGCATTTACGAACAGTGAACATATCAAATAAAACGTGCAGCAATTAGAGAATAGAGAGACCACTATATTGCACCTGACCTACCTTTGTTCTTCAAGCAATGTAAATGCCCGAATGTTTCTCGTCAACTTTCTCGAACATTATTCACACAGCCTGCCAATAAAATATAATATACATTAACCTTAGAACTTCCTAAAAGTGCTTAGAGTATCTTCCATTGTATAATACTTAAAGGCATATTAATGTAAATTGTATTTGTATTATTTATTCTTTTAACTACATATCTGTGTGTTTAATTCGTTCCGAGATTGATGCAGCCACGCACGAGCTTCCTCTGTTTCTAATCTGCCAGGATGCTGACGTGCCTTGGCCCTGGATTAAGGCAGTCACCATCCAGGTGAGCGACAGTCGTCACTCGAAACACATGAGCGCTCCAGCATCTGTCTGGCAATACACATAAACACGAGCAGTTCCGAAATTAGTAAACTGCATGCATGTGTCTTCTATACAACGGCAGACGAAGCGGTTCTTTTCTTCTTCTCTCTTTCTCTTCTCTACTTCGTTCTTCTTTTTCTATCTTCTCTATTTCAGTCTTCTTTCTCCTCCTTA